AATCAGAACCTTTTCACTACCATTAACTATGAAGTATCCACCTTGATCATAAGGACACTCTCCCAACTCTGTTAAGTCTTTCTCAGATAGGTTATACAAGCTGCAATAACTCGACCTAAGCATTATAGGAATCTGCAAACACAAAAATTAAACAATAATCAAAAAATCCCAATTCAATTCACTGTCAAACCTATACCAGACCTTTAATTTAATTTGTACCTTCCCAATGAAAACCTTGGTAAATTCCTGACTCTCTGTGACTTCTTCATAGTCATGGCCCCTCTTTATCACTTCCTTTTCGACATCTACGTACAATGGTGATGAGTATGTGAGGTTCCTCAACCTCGCAGCCTTTGGGAATAAGGTATTAGTCTCCCCATCAGACTCTGTCATCATAGGCCTACTCAGGTATATCTGAGTAAACTTGATCCTATAAATTGTCTGCACAGAAGCGAGTAATCAAGAAAAATGAACAAAGACATTGCAGTTATTATATATGCTTAGGTTTCTGCAACAGAGAATTTCGATTATTCATTAAGCTTGACATGCAGTAACAATGTTCAAAAAATCTAGGAATCATAATCGAAACTTTAACGGGAAATTGAAAGATTAAGAAACCTCAACAAAGTCGGATTGACGGCCGGGATTATGCTGAGCCTCAGGGCGGATCTCAATGTAAGAAGCCTCGTCGACGATTTCTTGCATAGTGTTCTGTATGAACTCATCGAAGGAGTCGAGCTGCTGCCTCACCAGACCTTTCTCCTCAAAATATGCACTGATCACCGCCCATGCATCCTCTTGCCCGATTTCGGCACCTTCATCGTCCTCCTCGTATTCTGCTTCTTCGTCTCTTTCAATATTCCTCTCTAAAGGTTCATCCGCGTATTCATTCTCCTCATACATTTTTCCACCCCAGAAACCAAAACCCCACTGCTTCTCGATCGCTGTCAATAATCTGGGTTTAATTTGTGTACTGCTATGAATCCGCAAGATTAGTTATTGATTACGTACAGTATTTAATTTACGTTGAGTCACTTGCATGACTGTTCACCTTAGCTTTACTACTAACATTTTATGCACAATGCCTAGGCAATTTATATCCTGCACCACGACGCGCGTTGAATTGTGCGTCCAGATGCAAAACGACGTCGTTTCAATTTTTTATTTTTTTTTAAATTTCGCTACTCAGTGTTTGGCAGTTGATTTTCTTTAAAAAAAATCTCATGTTCAAAAATGTACATAATGTTATACTAGAATACACATAATTGTATACATAAATATACATAATTATATAACAAAATACACATATTTTTTTAAAAAAGATAATACACATAATCTAACATAATACATAATAAACATAAACTTTTAACATAATACACATCAACTCTTAACATAATACACAAAAATTTCCTGATTCGGATGTATATAATTGTATAAAAAAATGCATAATTGTATAAAAAATATACATAATTGTATAAACAAATATACATAATCATGTCAATTTCCTACCGCGCCTCCCAAAACGACGTCGTTTTGAGAGGCGCGGGGCGCACAGTGCACTGTGCGCCGTGGTGCAGGGTGTAACGATTGCAATGCCTAACATTTTTTGAAAGCCAAGCAACTTGGTATATTAATGAATGAACATAGTAATAGAGTCAGGAGGGACTATGTCCCAACACATAGGATGGTCCTAATCGAAAGCTAACGAAGTTAAAGTATGAGCATGCATATTGACAGCCCTAAAAATATAATTTAAAGAACAATATGTAAATAACGACATAGATGTCCTGCACTGGTCAACAATGACCCCAACATAAGATCGAGTAGTCGTACTTCTTGAGTGTATCAGGTTTCGCAGCTCCATGCAATCCGTAAGTAGGTCGACTATCAATATATCGCGCCCTTTATGCCATGAGAGGGCTTCCTTGCACGCAAGTGCCTCCGCCATAAGAGGTGAAAAAGCACCAGGGAGGGTGTCGGCCGTGGCCGCCACGAAAGCACCATCGTGATTGAGAAGCACAACTCCATATGTTGCATCTCCTATGTGCTGCCTGTAGCTGGCGTCGAAAAAGCACCTTAGTCGATGTTGCGTGTCGTCTACTGGCTCCACCGTGGCAGCGGGTTGTCGCATGGTGTGATTTAGCTTGCTGTATGCGTCCTCGGCCCTCACCGCCCTCCTCACCGTGGATCCAGGCTGTGGCAGTGCCTTCTCCCATACTGCCGAATTCCGAGCATTCCATAGATAGTATAGAACACCTACGACCAGTCTCAATTGTTCCTCCGTCAACGAGTTCAGCACGCCTAGGAGCCATGATGGGAACAAATTGGTTAGAATATTCGTGACAGGTAATCCCGAAATATTCCAAACCATTTTAGAATAATCACATAGAATCAGTGCATGCATAATATTCTCATGTACGTGGCCACACATCGGGCATATAAGATCCACCTCTACTCTTTTAATAATCAAATTATCAATGGTGAGAAGTATGCCAGAAACAGCTCTCCACAAAAAGATTTTCCATTTAGGTGATTGCAATGCCTAACATTAAAACATAATTAACAATAATATATTATCATCATTAAATATACTTTATCCGTCTCGTTTTATGTGTCTGATTTAATTAATGAGACTTAAGTGAAGTTATTTTTAATACAATTTTTTATAATATTAAGTTTACTATTTGTATGCATAATTTATATATTTAAAAATTACACTAAAAGTACAATTAAATAAAAAATTGAATTTAAAAAATATTAACAAATATAAACAAAGAAGAAATGATTATTTTGACCATTGAATAATAAATATGATAGATAAAATATAATGAGACAGAGAGAGTACAATTCTTTTAGCATAAAAAAACAACAATATTTAGGAATATATAAATAAGTAAATAAATATATTAAAAATTGTAAAAAATGAATAATAAAAGGATAAATTTTGTTTGGGCTGATATATTTTACTTATCCAATATGGCAATTCAAACTGGTGGTCAAATTGAAGACTTCTGGAATACTATGTAGCAGTAATTCATTAATAATTAACAAATTTAAAGTATCTATATCATGTACGAGCTTGATCCTTACCCATATATACAAGTCAAGCCTTTAACTAATTTTCATTCAAATGTAAGTACTTATTAGTCAGGGTGACTAAGTAATTCCAACATGATTCTTGTACATGAATGTTTTGAATTTGATTTTTATTAATACTTCTTTTTATCAAATTCACATCGTATAAGATTTTTTTAAAATAAATTAGAGTGATTTGACGTAGAATTGTGTATTTATTTTTAGGATAAACGTAACTTGCTTCCAACGAAACTTTTGGTCTTTGTCCTTGCTCAACCAAGCTTTTTATTTTTCCTATCTATTTTCAAAAATTAAATATCAAAATCTAAGATCATTATTATAATTATTATTATATTAGCTCAATGTCAAATCACCTAAAAAGGTACATGTTACTTAAGAACAACTCCAAAATAGTGTGAGATTTTTTTTTTTTTTTTGAATTGTTATTTATTTCTTTTCAATCCACGTATAGTAGGAATAATGAAAAGGAAATAGAAATGAATAAAAGGAAAAAAAAAATAGTTAGGGTGGTCGTTAATTGGTGACCACCATAACGCGCTTGCTAGGGGTTGTTGGTGTGTGAGACATGCAACAGCTAGCTGTGTGTGTGTGTGTTTTTTTTTTTTTTAACATGTGGTGATGCCCATAAAAAAATAAATATTCCAACAACATATTCACTTTTCTCTCTCTTATCCCCTCTCCCCTCCACCCCCAAAAAAAAAAAAAAAAAAAAAAAAAAAAAAAAAAAAAAAAAAAAACCTATTGGGGTTACACTAATGGCAACCTGCTCAAAGTATGGTAGTGCTAATTATTGCACATTTTTTTTACAAGTTTAAGGGTTGAATTGTAATCTAATTGAAGGGTTTTTATTTAGAGATCTAATTGCATTGTTACTACTAATTTGATGTCTTATTTAATAATTTTCATTGCAAATTAAATACCACTCGCTTTGATTATTATTAAAGCTCAAATTATCACATGGACAATATGAATAATAATTCACGTACAATTTATTGTAAGTAGGCATTCCTTTTGTCTCTTCGTTGCATCAATTTATAATATATTAAGATGTTGATGATCGAATTAATACTTTAATTTTGTACGTGTACGTTGATTAGTTTTCTGTTATTCACTCATTCGGCGTGAAGAAATTGATGGAGTCATTGTGTATTGAATGACTATTGAAAGCAAATAGAGAGCTAAGAAAGTGCCACAAGCTATGAATTACTCATCAAATTGTTGCTTTGCAGCTACAAACAAAATAATTGAGTGGATGAAACAATAATTTTTATATCAAAATGTCATGAAACATTTAATTATTGTCAATACACTTTAATTTCAATTGAACAGATTGCTCTCAATTCAGTCTATCACACAATGTTTTATTAGTGTGATTTATCACTTTTATACGCAGTTGACAAGAAACAGGGTTATAATTCCCGTATATATAATAGCAATGAAGTTAGCCATTCAAACATAAATAAAAGCATGAATTCTCATTTGACCATTGTAAATGGTTTTGAATACTACGTACTGACACTCAACCAAAAATAAGAATATAATATAATGCTCATTTCAGTCGTGGATAGATCTACAGTAAAGGGAGCTCAAGCAATCCTGGCAGTCAAAACCAACATTCAACCACCATGAGTTTATCAAGTATTGTCTTGTCCCTATAGCTAGGAAAATTAAAGAAGTTAAAGACTTCAAAACAATACTCATCAGATCATACAAGAGCTATTGGGCAGATAGATCAGAGGGTAAAATATAGGTAAGACTACCACAAACTAACACGTACGTACTCTTAGCTTGCTTATAAGCAAGCCCCCCTTTCCTATCCGACACTTCCAGTTTCTCAAGTAATATATATGATCCTTAAACCTATTAAACTCCCATAATCATGCCTTACAGATTTCATTAATTCATTATTTTATTTGGTGTTCCGATCCATGGAGGCTGCAAAGACGACGAAGCGGCTAAGGATTCTTTATGTCTCACTAAGGCTTCTGGCCTTGGGCGCCACGGTTTCGGCAGCCTTCGTGATGGCCACTAGCCATCAGAAAATCTACCTGTTTTCTGCTCCTTTTGAAGCCAAGTATAGCCACACCACCGCCTTCAAGTAAGTTTCTTTCGATTACCCCGCCGGCCTGGCCTGTAATTATATTCGATCGACTTTGCGTTTTAATGTTGTTGCATATATGTTTCTGTTAAGGTATTTCCTTATTGCCAACGCTGTTGGAAGCGTGTATGGGATCCTCAGGCTTTTCCCACCTCCCAAGAATTTCCTCTGGCGGTTAGCTCTAGTCTCAGATGTGGTAATGACGATGCTGTTGACGTCAAGCGTGTCGGCAGCTCTGGCCATTGCTCACGTGGGAAAGGAAGGCAACTCTTACGCGGGGTGGCTGCCGATTTGCGACAAGTTTCACAAATACTGCGACCAAGTCGCCGGAGCTTTGATCGCCGCCTTCCTTGGTGTCATACTGTATATCTTGCTCCTTCTCTATACCATCCACACTATCCCTCGCTAAGTATTTTTACTTATAATTATATATGTCTGCCATATCTACTTGTAGTATACACCCAAAAGGTGAATACTAAGTTGTAAATTCAATGAGCTGAGTGAGATCGAGATCATGATCACAAGCTAGCTTCTTTCTGCTCGATCGTAATTTCAATGGAGAACTGATCTGATTGGGATTATTATGAGATCATAAATTAATTTATTATCATTATATTATTTTATTATTAAGAGAATTAGAAATGTCAACCCTCTTCGTGTTGAGGTGTGCAATCCAACTATCAATTTGAGCTTTTAGTTGAGATTGAACACATGCTTCAATTCTGGGTCTAGGGTTGTTGGATTTATCAGTTATGCCCATCAAATTATTTTACTTTATTTTATTTTTGGTGGAGTTGGCTCTAACCCTAAACTTCAGGGCAGGCTGAACAGCTAAACTAAAATTGAAAAATGAGAGTGGGTACATACATTCGGTGGAGCTGAATGAGTTTTGAAAAAATATTCCCACAACTTTGACAGATTGAGATTTACTTCATAACATGTAAATGATTCAAGTCACCTTATAAATTCACTACAGAACATGTAAATATATAATGTTATCGGTAGGGATATATGTCAATCGGATTAATCCGTTTGGTTTCGATTTCACGCTAGCCTTAGGATTTCGCGATGTCAGAATTATCGGTTCAGGCTAATCATGAACTTATCGGTCAAGCTCAACTAAAACTAAAATTAAATAACACATTTACACTAATAAATATAAACTTATATATCATTTACTCGATCAATCTAAACCACTATTTCTAAATTCTAAGTAACAATAATTAATATACTTACACTATAATATAATAATATTTAAAGTAATTTTAATTTCTCATTATTTATTATTATAAAAAATATTTTAGTTTATAATATATTTATAAAAATGTTATTTAAAATTTTAATAAAAAAATTTATAAAGATGAGCTCTCCTATATCTTCATGTATGTTATGTTCAATTATATAACAAATCCTTATACAATGAACCAGAGTTTACAGTGCACTATGGACTTTTGTATGTATAACGTCGTTTTCAAACGAGAATTTATTTAATTTTGAGGGTGTCCGTTTATCCATCCAATTCACATTACAGTTTTTTTTTTTTAATATAAAACTTTTCTTATAAAAATAGTAATTCAATGATCCAATATCATCCAGACACTTGTTAATGAAATACAAGGTTGCAGTATCCCAACCATAGAGTACAATGGACAAAGATAAATGGTACGGTTATTACACACTACGCCAAGGGAAGGGAGTGGGGCATGTAGAGTAAGCAAAAATTGTAAGCACGAAGGTGTAGCAGCCACATAGTCGTATGTGAACTAAGCTATAGATTTGTACCCTGCATTCTGCAACATCAAGCCACATTTTCTCCTCTCAATAATTATAACTAGAGTACAAAATATACGAAATATATGTATAAAAGTGACAATTTATATATTTTAAGAGACTTATTCTACTCTAAACAATAAAATGATACGTTTCCTTCTTTGAGATTGTAAATGAGGGACTATTTCTTCTCCTTCTCAACGAAGACTTCTCCCCTTTTCCCGCACTACAAATAATAGCATAACAACTACCTTAAAGGAAGCTGGGTTTCATTTCATTTATTTTAACTCCATTTTCTTTAAGATAAGCTACTATAATGACTTCTATAAAGTCTCACTATGTATATGTAATATCACAAAAAGAAAAAAAAATACATAAAACCTTTTTAGCTTGGCACAGTAAAAAAAAACTCTCATAATTTTTTTCTTTTAAATTTCAATTCACATAAAAAAACTAATATTCTATTTTATCACTTAAATTTTACCATACTTTATCCATTATTAATGCATTATTATTATCGGCCCAGTAGCTAGCACGTACTTATCACGGATTCCATGGATCAATATGTATCATTATTGTATGGACCATGGTCTACGTACACAAGTTGTATGGCCCATATTTTATTTACTGTAAAATAATGTACATTCAGTATAAAAATAATGTACATTATATTTAAGAAATGTACATTATTTTTTTTTAAATATACATTATATTGTATAATGTATATTCAATACAAAATAATATATATTTAATATATTAAAAATGTACTTTTTGTTAGGGTCCTTATAACATTACGTCGACCATAATTTACCTACTTCAATAGTGACTGAAGAATTCAAAGATTGAATAAACCATTATAATATAACTCAACCGTAGAAATGTCATTAATTTTTGTTTGTTTTTTAAGGAGACACAGAAGCGACCAAATAATTATGGTCGGTCAGGGTTAATCCTTATCCTGCCTTTCTTCAGTACCAAACCTCGAAGTCTAACCGCCATGATTTTCACGTTGGTTCATCAAAAACGCTTCAGTACTGTACACCCCGAAATTCATGTGTCCACACACACCTGCTTCTACACTTCTACTTCGATACCTTTCTTCCCCTCTCTCTGCATATAATCTTTAGAAATATTCGCAGCTTCAGCAAAAGTGTTAGATTTCTCTGTTCGCGGTTATGGCATCTGGATCCTCAGCTCCGGCCAACAATTCGGTCTCCAAAGGGTTTGACTTCGCCGCCTCCGATGATATTCTTTGCTCCTACGAAGATTACTCCAATCACGCCAGTTCTAATGGCACCCTCCACTCCGATCCCGCGGCTGCGTCCACTTCTGCAAAGGTTATTCTTTTTCTCATGGTGTTTGATTCTTGCGGTTTTAGCTAGGGCTTTGGTGATTACTGGTGAAAGTTGGAGTCTTTACTGTTCAACTTTGCTGTAAATTGCTGAATCTGAAAGTTTTGGAATATGGGTTTCAGTTTTAATCTTTGTATACAACAGTTTGTTTAGCCTGCTCAAAAATTTTCTGAGAAGGGAACTCATTGGTCACTGGGGTGTTTGTTAAAGCTTATTCCGTATTTAATTAGATTATTGGGATTATATCTTAAATAATCCTTATAACATGTTTAGCAAAGATTATGTTGCAAGCTTTTAGCTTATTTACTCTGATAATCCATACACATGTCTGTAAAACTTAAGCTGTTTAATGGTATTGAATATTGATACTAAGAAGAAGTAAGAACCAGATGAAATGAGAGTTTATTAACTATATAATATGAAGGGGGTGACGATTGAAGTTCTTTTCTTTGTGGGAAATTGCAATGTTGAGTTTGCTATTGCTTTTAAGAAAGTTGTTTGAAGGTAAAATATGTACTAATAGGAGATACCTAATCAATTTGATCTCAGTTTCTGCTGCTTACCTGGAATGTGTCTCTTGTATTGAGCAGGAGTTCCAAAAAAACAGAATGACGAGATCATCTATGTTTACTGCTCCGCCTTATAGGCTTCCTGAAGAATCGTCATTTAATGAAGATGTTATGGTTACTGTTGACATGACCATGAAGAAGTATGCTGACAATCTGATGCGTTTCCTTGAGGGAATTAGTTCACGGCTGTCTCAGTTGGAATTATATTGTTACAATCTTGATAAATCGATTGGAGAAGTACAGTCTCATATGATTCGTGATCATGGAGCAGCGGATACCAAGCTCAATTCACTTGAAAAGAATCTTCAAGAGGTATGTATATTAGCATATTTCTCTTAGTCTGTGCGTAATTCTGAGTGTGCTATTGATTGGTTTGGTTCTGTAATCTGTACTATTCTGGTTGCAGGTTCACAGGTCAGTACAGGTTCTGAGAGATAAGCAAGAACTTGCCGAAGCTCAGAAGGAGCTGGCCAAGATTCGGCTTGCACAGAAAGAATCAAATTCAGGTAACAACTCTCAGCAGAATGAAGAGAGAAATGCCCAACATATTTCTGATACCAAAATGAGTGGAAATTCTTTGGAAGTTAACGGGCTGCAACTGGCACTTGCACTACCACACCAGGTAGCACCACGACCAGTGGAACATCATCAACTGCCGCCTGTCCCAGCTCCCCCGCCAATTTCATCACAAGCTATTTCGCAACCACAGGGATACTATTTACCTCCAACTCAGTTGTCTCACGGTCCATACATACTACCTGTTCCTCAATTCCAAACTTCCCAAGCACAAGAACATACTAGGTTGCAACCACAATCTGTACAACCTCAATTGAACTTGACCCCACGGGTTCAGGCTACAGCTAACTATCAGCAGCAGCAGCCACCTGCCGTTTTCCCTCCTTACCTGCTCAGTCAACCAAATCCTACCCCCGATATGCCTATGTCTCGACCAGTTGCAAGCAGCCCCGAGGGGGGAATCCGTTATGGGTATGCTGGTGCTGGGAAGCCAGTTCAGCCAGAAACTCCAGTTCAGCATCTCAAACCCACTCTTCGGGCACCTGGGGAGGGGTATGGACTCGGCACAGCCCATCCCTCCATTTCACAAGGTAATGGTTACGTGATCTATGATGGGGAAGGGGCAAGGAGTCATTCAACCCCACATCCTCACTTCCCACAAGGTGGCTATCCTCCATCAAGCTTCACTGCCCAGAACCCACAGCCAGCTCCTACTCCTCCTAGCACAACTAATGCAATGGCTCGTCCACCACAGTTGATCCGCAACCATCCCTACAATGAATTAACCGAGAAATTCATGCACATGGGTTACAGGGGCGATCATGTCATAAATGTGATCCAAAAGCTGGAGGAGACCGGTCAGCCTGTTGATTTCAACACCGTGCTTGATCGATTGAATGGCCATTCTTCTGGTGCCCCCTATAGAGGATGGTAAGTAACCTTGAATCTTTCTAGCTGTCACGTTTCTGTGTTCTGAAAGACCATGGTTAAGGCAAACAACCATCTCGGTCTGTATCATTACGCCACATTCACCCGGTGGTTTTGTCTACTATATATGCCTTGCGTTCAATAAAACTTGATACGATAGCATGGGAATTTGGTATGTATAAAATCAAGAGGTGCACTATATTATTTGTTGTGGCCTCTTCCCTGCTTTCTTATACATTGTAAGGTTATGTTCTTTGATATATATATTTCAATGACGACATATAATCCAATACACATCTTTGGTACGATGTTTTTACAAAATCATTGTTTCTTCATGATTCGAGTTACTTTGTTGAGTTTGTTCCAATCTTTGTCTTGCTTTTACTCTCACTAAAACTGTAGTGATGGGTTATAGGTAGTTGCACCTTCTCGTTGTGCATATACTAATCGGTGAATTTAAAAGTGTATCTCAAGCATTTAAACAAAAACGAAAACAAAATCTTCACGTTTTATATAAACGTGCCAAATTAGAGCGCGCACTTTTTGACTTTTTGTGTGGAAATTAGATCTATATGTTCACATCAAGACATCGAGTACTGATGGGGGGGAATTAAAGATCAAACGTGGTAATAAAGTGAAATGTATTCTTTTAAGACATGTTTAGAAAAGAGTGAATTTTGTATTGATTGGATGGTAATTCATCATAACTTATATCATTCAATACGACGTGTTGTTGAAAATCTCTCATATAAACTATGAGTGTGTGGTAAATAGCTATTAGCTGATTGAATTTGTTGATTGTAGAAAAGTATTTGATAAATTAACTGTTAGTTGATAACTGATTACATGCAAAATGATTTTTTTAAAAAACATATTGAAAAAATTATTTTGAGAAGCTTTTTGAATTTTAGCATTTAGAACACTAAGTTGTTACAAAAAGTTAATTAATCAAACACTCATATTAATTATTTAATCAAAGTCAAACAGCTAATAGTAATCAAATAAGTTAAAATTAACTGATATGCTAACTACCAAAGGCTTTAATTAGTTGATATTTTGTTGATGCAATAGATGTTTCACTTCATTTTCTATAAATTTTTTATTTTTTAAAAATTAGGTACTAACAGGGCGTTTGGTTGGAGGGATTTTAAATTTCTTTCCCACTTAATTCCCACCTAATTCCAAAGGCCATTAAATTCCGTAGTTTGGTTGGAGGGAATTGCAATTTCATGGAATTGCAATTCCCCCATTTTCATGGAATTAAAATCCCATGTCCCCCCCTGGTATTTTAATTCCTGGGAAAAAAAAGATAGTGATGAATCAAAATTACCCCTTCCTTTTTTAACCTAAAATTAATGTCTAACAACAATAATGGACATTTTTGACTTTATACTACTTATTTCCTTTCAATTCCCATGTATACCAAACATTGGAATTGAAATTCCCAGTAATTCTATTCCTATCAACCAAACACTGAAATTTAAATTTCCACTTTATTCCCAGTAATTCAACTCCCATGGAATTACAATTCTTTTCCCACATAATTCCCCCCCCCCCCCCCCCCCTCTCCAACCAAACGCCCTCCCCCCCCCCCCCCTCTCCAACCAAACGCCCTGTAAAAGAATGAGTTTCTGTTATCTTTTTACATGAGGTGTACTTGGTGATCAACAACTCACTTTAAGTATCATTTACTTAAAAGAGATTATTGGGTAAGAGTTCTATTACATAGACTCCCAAAATTTTACTCCTTCATTTATACTTCCTGAGGTGACAAATCAGGATTGATTATTTTCATCATGTGGATCCACAGAAAAGTGTCTACATCAAGAATATGTGAGAGGGAGTACAAGTTGAGAGTTTAAAATAGAAGTACACCAAGTATTTTTCATTGGGTAGAGTAATACCCCCTCTTGCCATGTGGTCTAACTTGCTATGAACATTACTTGGGTGGGGAGTTAGACAATATGCTGAAATTGACCTCCTTTTGCTATGAAAATTACCTTGCTTTTATAGTGAGGAAGGAACCTTTGTACTCAGCAAATAACAACAAATGCACTTCGTATAAGATGATGACAAAGGAACTTTTGAAAAAAAAAGAAAAAAAAAAACAATTGGATGCATGAGGGCATTTGAGAATGCAATACTCATGTTTAATTTAACTAGTCAAATTAGTACAAGAGAATGACAATAGGACTTCTAAAAAAGCAATACTTGTATGTAACAACTGACCAATTTAGTACAAAAGAATGACAATAAAACTTTTGATAAACCAACCGTTGCCCTCAATATATACAATGTACACAAGGATGACAAGAAGATTTTTGCGAAGGCAATACCAATACGCAACAACTAGCCAAATTAGTACAAATGAATAACAAAGAAACATTTGGTAAAACAACAATTGCACTCGATCAATATACATTTAGGGGCTGTTTAATTGGTTCATGGGATCTTTTGTTTTTTGTACTTTTAAAATCTTTATTTCTATTATAGGGTCATACTAACCAAACATCAATATTGGTAATCATTCCAATTCTATCATACTACCAAACATGCAAAATACTTTTACCAAAATTTATATCATTACCAAGTATTTGATTTTCATTCCGATTTCGATTCTGATTCCCATGTACGAACCAAACACGTCCTTAGTCAACTTCACATGAAGATAACAAGAGAACTTTCAAAAAGGTAATACTTGCATTTAACAATTATTATACAACTTAGTATAAGAGTATGACCGAAACTTTTTTGAGAATAAAATATTTACTTAACACTCAATGTTTACAACCTTTTCAAATTTAAAACACCAAGATAGAATTTCTTTCCTACTTTATCCATAGCAAGACAAATTATAGTGTTTGGTTGGAGGGATTACGATTACATAGAATTTCAATTTCTTTCTTTTGTTAAATTGTAATTCATGGAGTGAATTGCAAAAAAGGGAAGAAATGACAAAAATATCTTTGGTGGTGGTTGTTGTTATTGTTATTACACAATGACATTTTAGTCTTTATATTACTTATTTCATTCTCATTTTCAATAATTCTATTCCTCCCTACCAAACAATATAATTTTGAGTTAATTTCCAAAATGGTCATCCGACTATGACCTTTTCTCAAATTGGTCCCTTGACTTTTAATTTTCCCAAAGTAATCCTCCGACTTTTGAATTTTAAGCCAAAATGGTCCCCCATTAGCTTTGGCGTTAAGTTGGTGTTAAAATGAAGAGTAAAACTGGAAATTTAGATTTTGCACTCCAATTTAAAGCAACCTGCGCACATATTTGTTCAAATTAAGTTTTTGCTATACTAAATCTGTAATAAAAATGTGGGATAATCAACTAGAAGGCCATAAATCTTTGCCTTTGGGAAGTTTGTGGATGAGGTTGAATGCATGAAAATCACAAATTGATGAGTATAATTGCTATTTTTTAAAGTTCAGAGACTTAATTGAGTTATCGTATAAAGTTGAACTTATTTGATATTTTTCTTTATTATTTTACTAGTATTTGCGTCTGTGCGTTGCACGAAATGAAATTGTTATAATATTTTAAAAATATTTAGATCAATATACAATTGTATAAATTATAACATCGTATATATATTATGCGATGCGAAATGAATAAAGAAATGTAATGATCAAAGGCAAACACCCATTTGGACATTTGATTGGTGGATACTAATGAGGGAGATGGCCGATGAGGTCCCCCACTCCCCAGTTATCAGTCTGATTTTAGGCTATTTGCAACTTGCAAGTCAACGTACCGACATAATGTTGAAATTTTTGTGTACGCAAGTCGCAAGCTGTCCAGTGTCCACTGTGCCAGCATTTAATGTTCTCCGATCCCATGATTCCATGAAGCCAATCGAGCTCCACAATTTCATCCACATTCACCGGGGAGCAAATTAAATTATTATTATTATTATTATTATTTTGAGAAAAAGAACCGTGGGTAAAAAACAAAGTGCCTAGTTACACTGGGCACTATCGCTCACTCCAGCCCCAACGTTGTCCTCTCACAAAACGTTTTCGAGAATTCCAAGCTCATGTAAGAGGGCAGTCACGGCAAGGCGGTCGGCCGCTTTATTCTGAGTGCGTGACACATGCGTAACGGCCAAGGTTTGAAAATACTGGCACTCGCGAACACAAAGTTGAAGAATGTTGCACCTAATACAAAGTTTTAAGGTAGCTAAATTTTAAGGGTTAAATAAAAAAATTTAATTAAGTGAAAAAACATCTTAGGTTATTGAGTTAATTTCATTTTTTATCTTAAATTTATAGGTGACTATCTATTTTTAGTTCCTTTTTATCAGAACATCCACATTTGGTCATAGTATTATTGTGGTTGAATTTTTTTTTTTTTCCGTCAACAAAATCGTTGAAATGTAGTTAAATATAAAGATATTTTGATCATTTTTATACAAAGTGAGTGGATCCCATTATATTTTTATGTTTATTTTTTTAAAAAAATCGTAATTAAAGATCAAAATGCCAAACGATATTTCAATCTTCCAAAAGGCTGAACCCCAACTCTAAGGGCCCCCCCCACACTCCGACTCGACAGAGCATTTGGGAGGATGTAAATCGCGCACAAGGAGTCCCCCTCATTTTGTGAGGCCCACACTCCGGCCCGACAGATCGCGCACAAGGAGTCCCCCTCACTTTGTGAGGTTGCTCCCACACTGCCGCGAGTGAGACTCGATCCCTGATCATTCTTTCAAAATTTCACCTTTATGACTAGTTGAGCTACCTATGCGGGATATTTTAATGATTTTGTTGGTGGAGGACCAAAAAATGGTCTTTTTACCTGCTCCCAAAAAAAAACCACTCCGTATTAACGGTAAACGGATAAATTGGATTTTTCAGTTACTAAAAGACGGAAAGTTAACGAACCCACTGTCCAAATTCCACGTATGCATTCAAAAGTAGTGCGCACACAACACAGTTCGTCTTCTGGTTTTCCGCTACATTGTGATTTTGTTAGTGTCGGCATTGGTACGTACCTGATCCAGAAGCAATAGTTACAGATAAGCCAAGATGGAGACTGCTCTACTGAGTGGAGAGAGCAGCGGAAGTGGTGGTGGTTCCGGTCCCCTCCGGCTCTTCCGGCGACGCGCTTTCAGTAGCCGATCAGATGCAATTGTGTACGGATCCACTTACCAGAAGGCCGCTGCTTTGGTTGATCTTGTAAGCTTCATTTCCTTTCATCTATATTCATCCTTCCAATTCTAGTATTCTACTACTACTACTACTACTACTATTGTGCTACTACTTTCCTTATAGCTTCTTCCTAAATATCATTAGATCTCTTGAGTTACGCGTGATGGCTGATTGTGTATTTGGTTGACGTATTCATCTTCTGGAAATTCGATAGTTTACCAAGTGGAGATCGTAGTTTTTGTTAAGCTAGCTAGCTTGCAAACGGCTATGATTCAAAATTGAAGAGTATGCTCTGGTGGAATGGTGAAAGCAGTATGTATAAATTAGCTAGCATGTGCGTGTAACTGGAGAATTTGTTGAGAGTGATAATTAGAACAGTGCAGAGTTGGCCTATGATCGCTTGTTATACTTGACTTTTTGTGAAGGCTGGGAGAGAGAGAGAGAGAGAGAGAATATAGATATCTGCCTTGCTGCCATAAGGTGTTGTCTCTGCAAGAATTCTTTAGTTGCTGGGAAGTATATATATATATATATATATGTTGGCAGGCAAACTAACAAATTCGAGTCAATTGGAGATGGTTGTTGTAAATATTAAAAATAAAAAATAAAAAATTGTTAGTAGTACTAGTTTAGTTAAGAGTTCTAACTAGCTTCTGCAAATTACTAAACATGGCTGAGTACAAATTTTGATGTTTGATGTATGATAAGCACAGCATTATTATATGGACCAATTTGGTTATCTGTATATTATATCTTTCTATTTCCATCCCTGTGCATTGTTTCCCCAGATGCTTAGCTGATGAGAGTGGGTTTAATTCTGTTCCAATGAAGCTCTTTTTCTAGTAGTTTTAGGAAAGGTTTTCATGGGGTTTCCATTTGCAGGCTGAAGATGGTGTTGGGATACCTGAGGAAATCCTTGATCAATCAAGCTTTGCAAGTGCAGCAAAGTTATACTTCATATTTACACGATTTGATTTCCTATGGTCCCTAAACTATTTTGCTTTGATTGTTCTGAACTTTCTTGAGGTTTGTACATCTTCTCATGACTGGTTCTTCTTCCTCGGCTTTGTAGTAACCTTTTCTGTTCCATGTTAGTAAGGAATTAGAAGCATATTATGTTTATTGAAAGCCAGTTCTCCTAACTTGTTTTTGTCTAAATATCAGAAACCACTATGGTGCTCCAAACAGTCTGCTTATGGCTGCAGTGACAGACAGTACTACTTTCTTGGGCAGCTGCCTTACTTGACTAACACTGGGTCTCTTGTATATGAGGTCAGGTCCAAACTCAGTTTCTTTTCAAGTTTAGACTATTGGATGTTTTTTAGACTTTAGTAGAGAGCTAAAGGTAATTCTAAGTAGTAGAGTAACCGTATTATCTTATTATTGGATTTACTAATGCCAAGTCATTTCTTGCACTGGCGAAGAATTGTTATATAATTTAGATGTAGATTGCTGTTTAAAGGACATTTCTATTGCCAAGCACATCTTAGCATCAATTTTTAGGATGTAATATTTCCCAAGTATAATAGTACTGTATTTGGTTCTTTGGCTTAGTGGGTGTTTTCTCTTGGCAAATTTGCACCCCCCCCCCCCCCCCCCATTCCCCTCCCCATAGCTGTATGTATGCAACCTCATGACTTAGATATTATCTTCCATTTCAAATTCTTTAGAAGAAACAAAGTAAAATTCTCTTTATTGACAACTATTTTTCATTTTAAAAATATTCTGCAGGGTGTTACTCTTGTAATTCTTGTGACACATGCTTTATTTCCAATATCATATGAAGGTTTTCAGATATACTGGAGAAGCATCCTCAATAGGTTAAAGGTAGGTGATTCTACTCTTCCGTATGGTTTCTTTTCAGATATATTTATTTTCTTGTTCTCATGACAGCCATTCATTGTTCCTATGGATTATATACACTTAAATGTAAGTTTTAGAGACAGTTTACCTTGTGGTAAAATATGTTGGTAAGCAGTGCTTCTTTTGCATTCACTGCATTTGTTTTTGTTAGATATAACACTCCAAAGACTGAAAACTGGTGTGTAGTTCTCATTTTGGCAGGTATTCATAGGTCAATAAAAAGGAGATCAAGAACAAATAATCCAGATTCTTTGCCCAAAATCTGGATAAATAAAAACTCCAAACTCAAAGATAAATTTCTCTAGAATTTTGTAACAAGAATGAAAATAGAAAAGTAGGAACTGAAAATAATATAAAAACAGAAGTATTAGCAACCAAGTGCATCGAAATTACACGATCCTCATAAACTGAAGCTCTGATGAATTTTTATATTTTTTGAAAAATGCTTGCCTAAATGTAATAGTTTTCTTGTTGACAAACTCCTTTACCCTCAACTTTCAGGTCCTATTGCTGTTAGTTTTGGTTGCAGATCTGGTGGTCTATGTTCTCTCCATAGCTGGCTTGTATTATCTGCCATTCAGGGCTGCACCCTATGTACGGGTTGTATTTTTCATTCTCAATATCAGGTATGGTTTATAAGATGCTTGATATTTTCCTTGCAAAGCATAATAATTGTTGCTTCTATAGCTCTCTTTTACTTTGAATTCAATATAAATTCCAAAACCTTGTTACTGAGTATCAAGTTTGTTTAATCATATAACACTTCTATTCTCCCAAGACATAACATTTCAGCCAGTCTGTAGAGTTTTGTTTGTTGGCCATTGTATTTTTCCCATTTTGATCGGACTGGGATGTTAAGAGTGATGTTCTTTTACAGGTAGGCAGGTCAAATAGAACCATATTATTGAACTTCTTCTATCTATAAAAATTATGCCCAAATACTGACAAAATGGAAATGGGGGCAGTACATCATGCCAAATTAGTCCCAAGTAGCAGGAAAAATGTCTTCATATCGGGAAAGTGGACTACTTTTTCTGACAGTCTAAAACCATTGTAGGACAGATAGATAAGGAATTGTATGATTTTCCATGGAAGGTGTTGTGATATTTTACTGGTGAAAAGAGTCATGAATTTGATGATTTAAAAAAAAAATCAAGTGAATTATTAATTCACTGTTGGTAAACTTGTCCCTTTAGTTACGCATCCAATATTTAGAAGCAGCAAATATGCATGTGCCTTCAATTCAAATTGCGCATTCATTCTACTGTGTAGAAACTCACAAATGTTCAACTACTAGTAATCTGCATTTATACTTATATTGGTGAGATTAGTTGTTCTTATACCACTTAGTATGTTTTAAGGATTTATCATACTTTTTGGTGGAAGCAACAATGCCATCTCTAAACTCAACAGGCTATCATAACCAGGTAAAAGATGTTTGCACAAATGAGGAACAACTGAAGAGAGAATTATTTGATTAATCTTATTTGGGCTCATTCCAGAAAGAGCAAAAAAGAACTGTCAGTCTATGCAAATCTCCATTATATGTTGTGGTGTCTCCATCATGGGTGTATAGTGATGGACATTCTTTCAATAGGGTCACCTTCTAGGCATCTTTGTAGGCTAAAACAAGGGATGTGTTTCAAGGATTACCACTTTCTTATGTTCAGAGAAAGTTGCAGGCTTTTGTAGCTAGGTTATTTTCTTCTCTCATCTGCTCTTTGATTTTAGATTACCTCATGTTTCCTGAAACTTAGTTTACCATTTCATCCTTAATTAAAATTGGTTCTATTTCCAAAAAAAAAAAAAAATTATAACTGCACATATTGTTGGGTGTGCCCAAGCAGTGATGATGAATAAGGAAATGCTCTCTTACACATAGAAGATGCATAAGTAGAGAAATTAGTCCCGGATAATAAACTTAAACTAGAAACATGGATGTTAAGAATTGGTTGAGATGCCCAATCCATATCCTCAAAGTGTTTGAAAGAAAATTCTCATTTGAGAGATTTAATAAGTAGAAACACATTTTATGGATTTACAAGACTTGGGTTTTTGTAGGTTTAGCCTAGTGATAATCTTTATCATTTTTTTTTTGGGGGGTATTTGATCTAGATGTTATCTCCTCATACCCTTCATATCCAATTTATGAGGCAGATTAAGAATAACATGCATGAATTTTTAAAATAATATTTGTAAGGAGAACCTTCAACGCATGCTGATATCATTCAAAATTCATAATAATAATTATAAACTAGAAACGTGGAATTGAAATATAGCAGAAGTATTTCATGTGCCTGAAAAAACTAAAAAGCTATTGATATGAAAACATCTAAAATGTTCAATAGAAAAGTAATCTGTGGAGCTGCAATAAAACATAAACTCACAAGAGAAAATTTTGAGTTGTGAAATTAAGATGGGAACGCACAACCACCTGACATGATGGGATAAGCTAGGGTTGAGCTCAGTTTTCATATTTTCTTTTCCCTGTGCTTATAAATTACATATCTGTACTGGCAAATAATAATCTGATCTGAATTTATCCTTTGCAAAAAATAATAATCTGATTCTGAATTTACCCTTTGCAAAAAATTATAATCTTTTTCTTTTGCTGAGATTAGGGAATTGAGAGACAGCATCGTGATCCTTGCTGGAATGTCTGGAACCTACCTTAATGTCATGGTTAGTTGCATCTCTATCATTGCAGTTAATGATTTTGATAATCTATTTCAAACATAGCTAAATATGTAACTTCCTACCCATTACATGAAAATTTTAAGTATCGTAATTCATAGGGAAAATGGCACTTTCTGAACTTGGTATAGATGTATTCCCTATTCTTAATAAAACCCTAAGACCAAATCTGCAACTTTACTGAGCACCTAGGGACTAAGTTTAAACCACAATCACAACCGAGGGATTAAAAGTTCCATTTCTCCTAATTCATATTAGTTGATTATTCAATTTGTGCATCTCTTTTTAAACAGTAAAACACCAGTTTACTTTTTTTCCCCAAACTTTTCTTAATGCTCTCTATTATTCTCTATTTTGCAGGTTTTGTCAGTTTCATTTCTTCTGTTCTGTAGCTGGTTAGGATATGTCATCTTTGAGGACACCGAACAGGGAAAGACTGTTTTTACTTCATTTGGCATAACCTTGTACGAGATGTTTATTTTATTTACCACATCTAACAATCCAGATGTCTGGATACCTGCATACAAGTAAGTTGCTCGCCACATTTACAAACCTTGTACTAAATGCTTGCTTTATTTACCACTTCTAATTATCCAGAAGTCTGAATTCCTGCGTACAAGTAAGATATCTTTGGAAACTAATATCCCTGAACCTTTCTTTCCCAACTGGCATTGTTGATTATGAAGGTTATGTTATGAAGGAAAAGTATTTTGTAAAGATAAATGTTATATTATTCTCTTCATTATGAATCTACGTTAAGTAGAGATTGGACTGGCACTAACACTACCACCAACACCAACACCAGCACTGCAAGAACAACCGTGCCAGCAGTAAGAGGAAAAGCAAATAGGAAAATCAAATAACTTCTAACGTTTTTCAATAACAAGTGAATTATTCCCTCCCACACTGAAAATTCTCTGCTGTTTTATTTGTTATAGGGAATCGCGGTGGTATTGCTTGTTTTTTGTTCTATATGTGTTATTGGGTGTTTACTTCGTCACCAATTTGATTCTTGCTGTTGTATACGATAGCTTCAAAAGTGAGGTATTAACTTACTTGCCTCCTTATGCTACTTGCGAACATACTCGTTCATTGCTCTAGGTATACTAGGCATATTGGTCAACTGTAATCTTTCATTTGTTACTTCTAGCTGTTCTTTCAACTCTACATCTTTTATTGAAAAGTGAGTTGAAATTAATTTGACACTAGGGTGCATGCTTGTTACAGCCACTGGGAAATTATTTTCTAATGTATTGCTCAAGTTTTGGTTTGCTAGCTGGAGAGCATTTTCCTCAATGCACTTGAACATGACTATTGGTATTTATTTATTGTCATAGCTTGCCAAACAAGTGGCTGAGAAGGATCGGGTGAGGCTAAGGACATTGAAGAAAGCATTTAGTTTGGTTGATGATAATGTAAGTAAAATGTTCAATCCCCCCCCCCCCTCCTCCTCCTCAAGGCATCCAGTCCCCCATTCATGCCATGATCAGATAGGTATTAACAATATCAGTTTTGTGGAGTGAAGCTCCACATCCTCATCTCCGTAATCAACTACTATGAGCTGTTAAAGTTGACACACCCATTTTATGGATAGCTAGGAGAATGAGATTAATGGAAAATTTTTATTTATGCCCATAGATCTAGAAGGCATCAATGTTTTTTCTATTTAGTAGGTATATTCAAAGTAGAAGAGAGACTTGTGACTTATGAGCTACTCCTGCAAGGAATTCTTTTCTTTTTTTTTCTTTTTAATTTTTTTTTTAAAATGGTGTATGGATGGATTTCTATAATGTATAAAACACTGTTATGTGGAAGATCATTTTGTTTATGATGCATTCATAATAAAGGTTGTGCTTGTCTTCTTTTGGTTAAAGTACCTATGAGGTCCCTGTACTATAGTGTTTTGTTCAATTTAGTCCTTCTACTTTAATTTTGTTCATATTAGTCCCTATACTTTAAAAATTGAAACAATTAAGGACAATAGCTGATGTGAGCAAATATTTATGTATTTATTTTGGACATATTAACGTAATATATTGATGGTAAAAATAATTAATTTTAAACATTTATAAAATAATATATGAGTTGGCATGTAAGTATGATGACGTGGCATAGATAATGTAAGCGCCACATAAGCTATTGTCCTTAATTGTTTCACTTTTTAAAGTACAAGGAGTAAATTGAGGTAGAAAGGCTAAATTTAACAAAAAACTATAGTACGGGGACCTCATAGGTACTTTTTTGAATGACTGAAGATTAGATATTGGTGAACTACTTCTCTGAGCATTAATATATAGACAGATATAAAGAACAGTTCCTCAATGAACTCAAGAGTTATGAATTTCTTAGCATATATGTATAGTGACCATTTATTGTGCCTTCCCAATCGTTAACATTTTATTTTATTTTATTTTCATAATCTTTATTGAGGAAGCATACTTCTCAGAGCAATGCTCTTATTGCAACAGCTAATAGGTTTCTTTCTGATTGGTAATTAACAGAACTGTGGGTTCCTCAACAAAGAGCAATGTATCCGTTTGTTTGAGGAACTTAACAAGTACAGGTACACTGATGCTTCTACGCAGCCTTTCACTAGTTGAAGCATTCACTGAAGTACTTAATTTGATGATCTTTTACAGGGATATTATAGAAATTGTAGTTTTAACATGCCATGCATTTTGTTTGAACATATATTCTCACTGGAAAAGTAATTGACAGAAGATCAAAAGAATGAGAAGCTAGTCAAAGTGTATATCTTTTACTTGTTTTGGTTTTTGAATTATACAATTTGGCTTGCTGTCCCTAGGCTTCGGATATTTCATTAACACTTGTTTTAGTTAAATCATGCAGTCTAATCTTTTCACGTGTATGCTTTTGCTTACAAAATGACGGATTAAAGCAGTCTTTTTTTTTTTTTTTTTTTTAAATGTCTTAGGTCACTGCCAAAAATATCAAGAGACGATTTTGAGCTAATATTTGATGAGTTGGATGATACTCGTGACTTTAAGGTAGAGTCAAATTTTCTTGACATATATTACTGAAGTGAGGTTGTATTAGTGTCTTATCTCCTCTGCTTCTATGTCTGATTTGTGGCATGTAATCATGATATGCTAATTTGTTTACACTTCCATTTTAGCTCTGCCTTTAGTGAGGTAAACATTATTGTTTATTTGATATGATATGAAACAGGCAGTCCAAGGTACTTGAAATTGAAGTATTTCTTTGCACAAGTTTCTATTTCCTTGTTATCAATTTTGTTTGAATATTACAGTTGATCCCTTCTCTCTCCAGATTGATTTGGACGAATTTTTTGATCTATGCAATGCCATCTCACTAAGATTTCAGAAGGAGGATTCTGTGAGTCAGATTTTATTCTTTAACTGGTGCTAAAACTATGGTATTGGAGGCATTTTGTGTTGATAAAGTAAGATGCTTTTTTCCTGCATCATTTAGCTTTCACTGTGCATTGCAGCTGCCAGTCTTTGAAACATTTCCTAATGTCTACCATTCAACAACATCTGAGAAGTTGCGGGAATTTGTTCGAAGCACTATGTTTGAATACATAATAATGTTTATTCTCGTCATCAATTTCGTTGCCGTGGTAATCGAGACAACGGTATGAATAACCTCATGTATACTGATAACTTGAAATTTGGCATACAATTTGAATTTCTTTATTTCTGTGAGCATATATCCATTAATGTGTATCCAACTATCAGCTTAGGCTTTTAGTTGAGATGGAGCACATGCTTCAATTTGGTATCAGAGCCAGATCAAAGGTCATGGGTTCGAATCTCAACGCCACTCATAAGCGTGTTGGTTGGAATCCACCATACACGTGAGGGGGCGTGTGAGTATATCTCCATCGGCCCAAATTCCTCCCAAACCAAGACCACAGGCCTCACCGGAGCCTCATCGCGAGCCAGAGCCCGAATTCTTGCCGCCGCACGCGCCACCGCCGGAGGCCGAGACCCGCCACTGTTTTCCGGCCAGATCTGCCTGTACCGACCTCCGATCGTGACGAAGTTACCACCGTTGGATTCGTCTCGAGAAAACGCTTCAGACTGTGTTTTCCATTTTCTCAACTTTCCGGTCAACCATCCTTTGAGGCAGTTTTTCCCTTTCCTTTTGAATAATATTATGGCTTCATCTCTCGCCGTTGGTACCTCTTCTTTGTTGTGTCTTTCTCAAGCTAGTAACACAAATACTTGGATCCTAGACACAGGTGCCTCAGACCATATTTCTGGTAACCTATCCCTTATGACTAATGTCACAAAGTCTAAGGCTTTGCCCATGGTTACCTTAGCTAATGGCAATCAAACACCAGCTGCCGGTGTTGGTCAGGTTCATCCTATGCCATCTTTTCCTTTAAAATCAGTTTTATATGTTCCTAATAGTCCTTTCAACCTTATCTCTGTGAGTAAAATCACCCGTACCCTTAATTGTTCTGTAACCTTTTATGCGGATTCGGTTGTTGTGCAGGACCGTAGTACGGGGAAGGTGATTGGCACTGGGATTGAGTCACAAGGCCTCTATTACCTCCGTAGTGGTGATCTTGCTGCCTATGCTTCTACAGATTCTCACTTGCTTCTCCATAGTCGTTTGGGCCACCCTAGTTTCTCCAAACTTCGACGGATGGTTCCAGGTTTATCTATAGAGTCATTAGATTGTGAGTCGTGTCACCTTGGAAAGCAATCACGTAAGTCCTTTCCACGGAGAGTCAATAATCGGGCTGCGTCTCTTTTTGATTTAGTCCATACTGATGTTTGGGGTCCATGTCCTGTCAATTCTGCTTTAGGGTTTCGTTACTTTGTCACTTTTACAGATGATTATTCTAGGTGTACTTGGTTGTTCCTTATGAAAGATCGTTCTGAGTTATTCCAGATTTTTCAAAATTTTTGTGTTGAAATACAAACTCAATTTGGTAAACCCATTCGTGTTCTGCGTAGTGACAATGCTAAAGAATATCTCTCTAACCCCTTTCAATCCTATATGACTTCTCGGGGTATGTTACACCAACGGTCATGTGTTTACACACCTCAGCAGAATGGGGTGGCTGAGCGTAAGAATCGACATTTAGTTGAAATTGCTCGCACTATGTTAGTTCATTCTCATGTTCCTCATCATTTTTGGGCTGATGCTATCCTTACTGCGTGTTACTTGATAAATCGCATGCCATCCTCAGTCCTAAACAATGAAACCCCATATTCCATTGTGTATCCTTCGGTTGATCTTTTCCTTCTTCCACCTCGGGTTTTTGGGTGTGTTTGTTTTGTTCATGACATGACTCCTGGGCGTTCGAAATTGGCCCCTAAAGCTGTCAAGTGTGTTTTCTTAGGTTATTCCCGGCTCCAAAAGGGTTATCGGTGTTATTCTCCAGAACTTAATCGTCGTTTTGTGTCTGCTGATGTCACCTTTATTGAGTCTACTTCTTTTTTCCAGCCCACACCGGGTAACGCAGTCTCTATTTCAGAGGTTCTCCCTCTTCCTTATCTTGGTTCACTTCCTCTTGTTCAAGATCATAATCCTCCAACTCCTCCTACTGCTCCTGACCGCCCCCTTCAAGTCTACCATCGCCGTCCTCGCCCTGTGTCTGTTGAGGCTCCTGTTGACTCACCCATGCCACCCGATCCTCCTCCGGCTGCGGTTCCACCACTTCAATTGCAATCTGACGCTGATCCCACTGAGGCACCCATTGCTATCCGGAAAGGTACACGTTCTACTCGTAACCCTCATCCTATATATACCTTTTTGAGTTATCATCGTGTATCTTCTCCTTACTTTGCCTTCCTTTCTCACCTTTCTTCTGTGTCTATACCTAAATCCACTCGTGAGGCCCTCTCGGATCCCGATTGGCGCCAAGCCATGTTCACTGAGATGGAGGCCCTGGAGTCTAGTGGCACATGGGAGTTGGTTCCCCTCCCTCCTGGTAAAACTGTTGTTGGTTGTAGGTGGATTTATACTGTGAAGGTGGGCCCTGATGGCAAGATTGATCGCCTTAAGGCACGACTGGTGGCAAAAGGCTACACTCAAATTTTTGGTCTGGATTACACTGATACTTTTTCTCCTGTAGCTAAAATTGCATCAGTTCGATTACTTTTGTCTTTGGCAGCAATCAATCATTGGGATTTACACCAATTGGATATCAAGAATGCTTTTCTACATGGCGATCTTCAAGAGGAGGTTTATATGGAGCAACCACCTAGGTTTGTTGCTCAGGGGGAGCCTGGTCTGGTATGTAAACTTCGTCGTTCCTTGTATGGTTTGAAGCAATCTCCACGGGCTTGGTTTGGAAGATTTAGCTCTGTGGTATGTGAGTTTGGTATGACTAGAAGTGAAGTTGATCATTCTGTTTTCTATCGTCATTCTAATGGGAAATGCATATACCTTGTAGTATATGTGGATGACATTGTTATTACAGGGAGTGATCAAGAGGGCATATCTCAGTTGAAAGAGTATCTCTTCAGTCGATTTCAGAATAAGGATTTGGGTAAGCTGAAATACTTTCTTGGAATTGAAGTGGCCCAGTCTAGTAGTGGTATTGTCATTTCTCAAAGAAAGTATGCACTGGATATTTTAGAAGAAACTGGCATGTTGGATTGTAGACCGGTGGATAATCCAATGGATCCGAATGTTAAACTCTTACCAGGACAGGGGGAGCCATTACTTGACCGAGAACGATATAGGAGATTAATTGGAAAATTGAATTATCTCACAATCACACGACCAGATATCTCTTTTGCAGTTAGTGTGTTGAGTCAGTTTCTTGAGAATCCTTGTGATACTCATTGGGATGCTGCTGTTCGGGTTCTAAGGTATATCAAGAGAGCACCAGGACAAGGTTTACTATATGAAGATAGAGGACATGCTCAGGTTGTTGGGTATTCTGATCAGATTGGGCTGGTTGTCCGTTTGACCGGCGCTCTACTTCAGGTTATTGTGTACTCATTGGTGGTAATCTCATATCTTGGAAAAGTAAGAAGCAAGATGTTGTTGCCAGGTCCAGTGCTGAAGCTGAATACCGAGCCATGGCCCTTGCCACGTGTGAGCTTATGTGGCTGAAGCACTTACTACAAGAGTTGCAATGTGGCAAGGTTGCTCAAATGACATTGATATGTGACAACCAAGCAGCTCTACATATTGCCTCAAATCCAGTTTATCATGAGAGAACCAAACATATTGAGGTTGATTGTCACTTCATTAGAGAGAAGATTGTGTCAGGGTGTATCAAAACAAGCTTTGTCAACTCTGCAGATCAATTGGCTGATATTTTGACAAAACCCCTTAGAGCTCCTAGGGTTGAGTATATTTGTAACAAGCTTGGAGCATATGATTTATACTCTCCAGCTTGAGGGGGAGTGTTGAAACCCTAGGTCCTTTTAGAAATAGGCCCATTAGGTTAATAGCATATTCCTATTTAAATAGTAGATGTTTGTACAGTTCTTTTGAGTTGAATACAATGAATCTTTCTACTATTCAACAATTTCCAGTTCAGTAAATTTACTTTGAAGTTTGATACACCCACAAATACTTCAAAAAGTTTTTGGATGTACATTTTAATGCCTCTTTAGAATTGAGGCTGGATGGTTGTTGTTCTGAATTTCATAAGAGATCCAACATAATGAGAATCATGTACTTTTGTGCCATGTCTCTTATGAAATAGTTGTCATGAAGGAAACAGATATCTTATGCAACATTTATTAGATTTTATTTTCTTTCTTTGCTGTACCCTATAAGGAAATGACAGCATCTCCTTCACCAGGAAACAATAACCTTGGACTGGCATATATTTATTTAGATTTAGATGCCCAGCTTCTTGAGTAAATTATCGTAATTCATGATGTATCTATTTCCATTTTTTTGAATTCAGTGATCATTATTCTTACTATAGTTACTTAGTTAGCTTTATTGTAATTTTTTTTAATACATATTTTGATCTGTAGATGACATATTAAAAAACCAAGATTTCATGCTTAGAATTATAGATCCCTATGAACAATCAATATTTTGATATTCTATTTAATAATCATCTTGCAAATTGTCTGACAACTTTTGTTGACTTGATCACTACCTATCCTGATAACTTATTCCTAAAAATTTCAGCTTGATATAGCGGACAGTTCTTCTCAAACCTTTTGGCAGAAGGTAGAATTTGTTTTTGGTAAGCCTCAGTGAATTGTAACTCAGCAATTCAGAGCAAAGTAGTTTGGTCTCTGTGAAATTTTGTTGCTAATAATGACTTGCTACCTACCTGCTGTAAATTGTTGTGTTCCATGATTTTGTAATTCTACATTTCGGGTTTATAAATGTCTGAGTAATGCTTGATTTTCTAGTCATACATTAAAGCTCTAGTGCAAGGTGTCTCAGTAGACCCTTTGCCTTGTCTCACATAGTTTCCTCCCTTATTTCTGTCTTCTTCTCTCATTCTAGAATCTTATTATCACATCTAGCATGGCTCCATCTCTACTTGTTATTGATCCATATTGTCTCTTACACCTTTCCCGTTATCTTTTAACCTATTGAACTCTTATGAATTATGATTATGAATTAAACTATTTTATCCCCAGAATTTGCTCATAATCTTAGATGGCAGAGCTTCTTTATACTTGAAAGGGTGAAAACAATGATTCATCTTTTAAACATAACTTGTTGGTTAAAATGTGATTCCAAAGCCTGGATACATTTAAAGAGAGTATTAGAAAATAGCATTAACCCCCTCCTGCCACTAATGTGTTCCAGAGTCATGAAATTCTTAAGTTAAACCAAAAGCACAAATTACACAGAGGTTTAAGGGACATCATCGAAAGTGCACATGGGTAACTGGAAATGGAGGAAGAGTCTTAGGTTACATATTTTATGAAGTTCTGTTGGCTATAACAAAGATTTAGCCTTAAAGGATTTATCACACAATATTCTTGCATTTTGAGCACATCTCAGTCCAACGAACTTGTTCATGAATTAAGCATTATTATGTGGTACTAACATACAGATGTTACAAGTGTTAGCACATACATAATGCCACACACAAGCATAAAGAGCACATTGCTTAATATATCAAGCAAAAGCTTGCTCTACTTGGTAAAAACTTGGAGCTGATATAAGAATGTCAAGCATATGTTTTCTTTGACTTCTTTGTTCGTATGACATGTAGTGCTTGGATTTTATTATTCAACTCCCATTATCTTTTTCTGCACATATGATTCATCAGCTATCTTAGTTGTAAATTATATACATATTCCAATGTATGTTGAAAGCCAATTAACAGACTGTATATTGTTCAACAGGCTGGCTCTATGTGATCGAGATGGCATTAAAAATATATACATATGGTTTTGAGAACTATTGGAGGGATGGACAAAATCGCTTCGATTTTGTTGTCACTTGGGTTATAGGTGGGTTAAAGGTTTTGGGTAAAAATTTATGGAGCAACTATGTTACATGAGTTGCAAAAGGCCTTGTATTCTTCCTCGACCTTAAACTTGTGACTGATGGTTATTAGCCATTTTCATTCTGAAGATCAGCCTATTTAATTTGAATTTGATGGAATCTCATTTCTTAGAGTAATGTATACTTCTCTTGTTGGAGTTGGTGAGAATCATAATCACTTATTTGCTAGTTATCTTCGAATTTACTGGTTGTATCTTATCATGTGGATGGCTGTAATTTTGCAGTTATTGGAGAAACTACTACTTTTGTGGCTCCTGATGGTGAGACTTTTCTATCTAACGGGGAATGGTGAGGCATCTTAACTCTTACATATTTCTACTCTGGCAATATTAGTATTTTCAATATAAGCTTACTTAAATTCCAACTTTTGTTTTCAATTTGTTGTATTTCTAATGAGTGACAGTTGAGCATCTTGTTTTTCAATCAAATAATAGTAAACTTACAATTCATTTCTTTAGCTCCTATATGCTTGTTGAGTATGCTACTTTATTGTATATGGACCCCCCCCCCCCCCACCCCCACCCCTACCCCACCCCCCGAAATTGCATTTTCAGCCCACAACTTAGAAGTTTTGGGTGGACACTTTTATTTGTGATGAATATATGTACTGTAAGGCAGTTTTTATTGATTCCATCGTCATGATGCCTTTGAATTTTTCTTCTTCCTTGGGTTGTGCAGCTTCCCTTTTATCCTGACAAACATGATGTTTACAGGATTAGGTATCTTCTTATTGCAAGAATGCTACGACTAATAAGGCTCTTGATGCATGTACGAAGTTATCGTGCCTTTGTAGCAACATTTTTGACTCTCATACCAAGTCTCATGCCATACTTAGGGACCATCTTCTGTGTATTGTGCTTTTATTGCTCTCTTGGTTTACAGGTGCACTCTCTACCATAATTGGCCACTCTGTACTCTTTATCTCTATTTGATTTCAATTTTTTAAACTTGTTCTTACATGAGATGTTCCAAGTGTGACTCAGATTAAAATTCCAAAACTTATCTTCAAATTACTTCTCTCTTAGAGGTCCTTCAATGGTCAATGATGGCATATTCTGTCTCATACAGATCCCATGTCATGTCATAAAATACCAATATAATGACTTCAGTTCCAGTGTTTCTTCTCCCTTGTACTGTTTCTCTGTCTGCTATTTTTATCCTGAATGTTCAAATTTTATGCAGATCTTTGGTGGGATGGTCAATGCTGGGAACCCCAATTTAGATGGAACTGATCTTTCTGATAATGAGTATCCTTTTGTTAATTTTTATGTCCTATAACTATATTATATGTCAGATTTCAAAGGCATTCTTTCCTTTGCATAGAAGACTCTTCCTCACTTCATGAGCACTCAATTAACAGTTATGGCAATAATGGCTTTTTTTTTTTTTTAAATAGTACCTATAACCGGCCTTTTTCATTATATGTAAAAGGCACATTGTTCTTAGTTGGACTGCTATTGCTTTTGCTTTCCTGAACCAATAAGCTATTTGCTTTTCAACTTCAATGACTATCCAAATGGAATGGTGACACTTTTCAATTTGTTGGTGATGGGTAACTGGCAATTGTGGATGCAGGTATTATGATTTTCAGCAACCTTGCCTTAGTTACTGCTAATTTGAAACTTGAACATTCTTTTTGCCCTTCATAGTTCATATAATGCCTATATCAGTTTATCCTTTCTACCTTTATTTTTGAATTATTGTGGAGCTTATCTAAAATTCTAAATGATATAATTTGAATTTACAAGAAGGCTTGATCCAATTCTGATCTTTGTTTTTGGAGATCCTGATCTTTATTTAATATAGTTAGCCACTTGGGATTGACTATCTATTCTAGCTAACTGAGGATCAAATCAGCTCTAGTTAGGATCAAACTTTGATTATCTCTAACCAAATTTAATAAATAAATTTTGTTAGAAAAAAAAAAATGTGATCCAGACTTAATGTAGTCCAACACAAGTTATTACAGCAAGAATCAAAGTGCAATAATCTAGTACTCTTTTCAAGGTTGTCTCAGGAGCTGTAATGTTGGTGAAACAGGTTCTTACCCACTCATTAACAGTTTAGCAGTCTGCCACTCATTAAGAATTTACCTCTCTAATAAACAGAAGCCACTACAATAAATGAGTTTCCATTTAGAACCAGCTTGAGATGCAGAATTTAGATCCATAATAAACAGAAGCCATTACAAGAAATTGTAAATGAGTTTCCATTTAGAAATAGCTTGAGATGCAACATTGTTTCAATTTGAGACTTTATGTTGGTTAGAATTTCATGGATAAATGAATGTTGGAAGTAGGATATAAGGCTAAAATTTCTCACATGGCTAATGTTAGTATCCCACTTACAATTTTTATCTAAAAAATATCTTCTACGTGAACAAGGATGATTTGTATTTATTAGCTTGCAGGCATGCTTTTGAAATTTATTTTAAACCCACTATCATAAGATCATGTTAGTTTTCGATGCATTTGATTGCTAGATGTGATAGTATCACTGACAATCTGTGGCTTACCTTTCAGAGCTACAAGGAATTGACTGGGACTTCTTGGAGTTATGTCTACTTTATCAGTTTCTATGTTATCACAGTTTTATGGCTCTTGAATTTGGTAAGTTGTGTATACTTTCTATGAGCTCAGTACCCCAGGCCCTAAATGGGGGTTGCATAAACATTTGCACTTGTACATGCATTTCATATGCGGGATTGTTGTCAAAATGTGCAGAGAAAAGTGTGGGTTCTGTCCTGATTTCGGCACATTGTACTCCTCATTTTTGTATGGGTACATTAATCCAATTCTCGTCCCCAATGTTGTGGAAATTATTTTGCAAGTTCAATGCCTTGAGCACAGATATGAATTGTAGTTATTTCAGTTGCAGTGTCACATAGCTAATTTTTGCTTGACTTTTATCCAAGCTGATTGTTTTTGTGTACCTATTGCCAAATTGCTAAAACAGTGAACTAACATTCATTTTGTTTAATTATTTCAGATTGTAGCATTTGTCTTGGAGGCTTTCCAAACTGAGATGGATATGGAAACTTCAGCAATTTGTGTGGATGGAGAGAACAAGGTTAGTAGTGGACCAACTTAAGCCGGTCTTGTCTTATGGTGTCAATTGCGTTTTAGTAGACTCGTTTATCTTTCATTGATCCCGTAGACTGATATTGTATTTGATGACATAAAATATTTCCTTTCAACCTTGTTATGAATTGTACTATGAATAGTCAATGTGCATAACGAATCAGAGCTGACATTTAACTCCTAAAATTCCAGGAAGAAAGAGAAAGGGAGCGACGCCGTAAGTATGGGTACGTGTGGCTGAAGAACTGACAATCTTTCACTGAAAACATTTCACTCCATATTAAAGCAAAACACAAAAGATTGACATTAAATCTGAACTTTATGTTATACAGCACAAAGACAAGGAGCCAGCGAGTTGATGCCCTCCTCCATCATATGCTGAGCTCTGAACTGACACAGTGCTCCAGCCCATAATTCTCTCCACTCCAGGTAATCTCATTAAATTTCATTTCATTCTTCATTCTAAGTTTATTATTTATTAGTCCAGACAGTCGCTAGCTTTCACATGCATCTTTGTCCATATTATTAAGCCTACAGCATCGCATCCACTTAATCTTGAATTTCACCAATTCCTCTATTCATGTTTTCCAATACTGGTAATGAAATATTAAAATACGTGCTTCAGTGGCCTGTCTCTGTTGCATTATATGTTCATTTGACAAAATCCTTACCAAGAATGTGTGTTCCTGCTGTCATCGTCTAGGTCATGAATCCCTGACGGAGAAACCAGTACATCATTATCCACTAGGAAGTAGACCTCTCGCATTAGGACGGACGTGTGCAGTTTCAGTTTGTGGATAGGCGCTTGGTGTTTAAATTATTGTACCATAGTCGCTCACATGCAAACTGGTGATGGTATTATCAGGAATTCAGGACTTTTGTTGGTGAATTTGAACCAGAATATTCTCTGTTGTGACTTTTTCCTTCAGTTTAAAGCACATCGGAAATGGGATCTAATTTAACGATAAATATCTTTTCTTCTGGTAAGTGGTAACAGGCTCTAGTCTCTAGATTATACTCAATTTGTGTCATTTCACTCTTAGCTGGGCTCACTGGCGTACCAGAAACCACAGAATACCTACTTTCCTTCACCCGACAGAGCAAGAGCAAGAATAGGAGATGCTGCTCTTGCTGTACCGAGGTCATTTGGAACATCATTGCCAAGTAACACTAAGGGTGTGTTTGAAAATCCGGAAAATGAATTCTGAAAATCATTTTTCGGGTTTTTGGTGTTTGATTGTGTAAGGAAAATGGCACATACTCAATGAAAAATGAGGCATTTTTTCAGGCTCCAATTTGTGGTGACTTCACTAACACTTATTGCGCGAGCAGAGAGTGTTCTCTACTACTCTCTGGTGTTAGGTCGGAAACCAGAGAACACGGTCGGAAACCAGAGAGCTACTCTCTGGTTTCCATCGTCTCTTTCCTTATTTTCTTTTTTTTAAAAAAAAAAATTCTTTTTAATAAATAATATTTATTTGATTTAAAAAATAATAAATATTTTTATATTTTAAACAAAATAATTAATTATATAAACTGTTTAATTATATAATTCTACCTCATTTTTTAGAAAATGAACCAAACACACAAACATTGTTTTTCGCTGTGTAGCCAAACAATGTTTTCCAAAAAATAACTCATTTTTCAAAAGTCATTTTCTTGCTTTCTGAACGGACCCTGAAATGAAAAGACGACGTTGCAAATAGCCAACATATCAGTTAAAGAAACTCAAATGAAAACATGTTGAAACATCCTTGCTAATATGAAGAAACATATCAGTTGAAGTCACTAATGTGAAGAAACATATCAGTCAAAGACAAGGTGTATATACAACGAAACAAGGAGCAATTTAAAACTGAACTAAAATGCCTAAACGCAATGTATCAGCTCTAACAAGCCCGCCCTCTCAATAAGCTCAACATCAGCCTGTAATTCTGAACTGCTCACAGTCCTTCACCCCATATTTAGTGAAAGTCGAGACAAGAACATTTGTAATTTTAGTCAGTGCTGCCTTGAAGTCTCGTGTGCGACCATGTTCTGGGACATTATCGCCCTCAGGTGGTTTTCCCCGGTCAGCAAAACCAACCGGTGCACCCTCCTTGTAGGCTTTACATGCTGACAGGATATCATGTGCATGGATGTGAAAATGACCGGCGACAAGGTCTTCAAAATGCTGAAAGAATGACCAGAAATTAGTTAGAAACATGATCACATAGCAGGTTGCAGTATCCAACAAACAGGCAAGCAAATACTCAAACGAATGAAGAAGGGGCAGAACATACCCTAGGAGGCCTTTTAAGGGTATACATCATTGTTTTCAAAGACATAATAAAAACATTTTCAGTGTAAGCTTTGGATCTGCGCTCCCCCTCAGCACCAACATAACTAGATTCATACCCAGGCTCATTGAAGAATGGATTTTCATTCAGAATTAAACCTTGTATAGAGACCAACACTTGCAGCATGGTTGATGTATTCGGCTGCCACTTTTCAGTACCCTTACCAGTCCAAGTGTTCAAAAGGCTGAGGCAGACTTTACCACAATCGTATAGATTAGGGTTCAGTCTCAGGCCACCCGAATAATAGTAAACCACCTTCAAATAGAAAGAAACAAAAATACATATATCAAAATATTATTTTAGCATCACACAATAGAAAAAGACAAGAATATGCGAGACTCCAGATACATACTGGTGGTGTATCTGGGTAGGTGGAAGGGAACAGGACATCAAAGATAAAAAGACCATCATGATAGGGAGTGCCTTGTGGTCCAACCATCACTGCCCTAAGAAGATCCATCCTTGTTTCATATACTCTTACATATATGGTGTCTGTAAAAACGAGAGACAATTAAGGTAATCATACATCAATGCAGATTTAAAGCTTCAATGTACAGCACAGATACAGGATAGAAATGTTCAATAAGAACTGACTCACCAGGCAAATCCTTCTCCAAAATCTTCCATTCACTCTGAATTTTCTTTGACCAGGCCTTGGGTGGCTGTGAAGAGAAATACGGGGGCAATCATAAGCTTGCCTGACTGAAATTTGACATAGTAACCAGAAAAACCATGGTGCACAATCCATGCTCAAACTAAGATAAAAGCCATTACCTGCTGCCCCTGGGAATCCATGTTGTTGAAGTGGTGATCTGAACAATCATCAACAGTATCAAAATTTTTAAACTCTTGATATTTTCTTATGATATCACTACTTTCCTCCTTGACATTGACATTGGCATTGCCATTGCCATTGCCATTGCCAGTAGAGCTCTGACCTACAGAAATGCTCCCTGAAGAGCAGAGTTGGGATGCAACCCCAGAAGAAACAGTATCAGTCGAGGCCGGAGTAGAATCCGACTCTTTCCACCACGGGACAGACGCCTCAACCCCAGGAGGTAAGTCAACATTGTCAAATTGCTTTTGCAAACTGTCATCCTCCTCCACACCATCCTCATCATCATCCTCATCCTCATCATCAAGTAAATAGTCATAGTAATCAAAACCATCATCATCATCACCATCACCATCACCCTCACCCTCACCCATGTCATCCCCATCACTAACATCTCCACTACTTGAAGTCCCAATAGCCTTTGCCAAACTCTCCTAGGTGGGAACCAAAAGAAAATACAAAAAACACAGCAAACTATATCAAAGCTACCATACAAGAAGAACACTCAAATCACAATCCCATTTGTAAGAAAAGAAATCTTTGATGCTCAAGAAAAAACAAAAGCAAAGAAACACAATCTTATCTAGTTCCATCAAATTTGAACAATGCTAGCTGTGTAACAACGCAATCATGCCAATATTTTCAACCAGTACATACAACTCTGCCACATCACACACTTCAGTGAACAAAAGACACTGAAAAGTCAAAACCACCTCGATACAAACGTCAGTGAAAAATAAGTTCAATCCAACACTACACAACCCAACAGAACGAAAAATCATCACAGATTATGAAAAAGAATTCATCCCAAAACACCAAACAAGCAAAGATCGTAACTTTACCAGATAACTCTCAATATAAGAAGCAAGACCATCAAAAACTCTGCCGACAAAACCCATTTACTAATGGGTACAACAGAAAGAAATGAGCAAAAGATAAAAAATTATCAATTTGTGTTGCCTCCCTCCCCCCAGAAGTTTGATAGTGAGTCGATACCTCAATTTGCTTAATCTGCTTAAGGGTTGTGTCAACGAACGGTGCAGGTAGTTGCGAAGTCAAGCCTTCCATCTATCTTTTTTTTCTCCCCCAATTTCAGAAGATTCAGTTTCGTCCCTCAATTTCGGAAAACTCAGTTGCAATCGGCGGAGGAAGAAAGAAGTTGCGAGAGAGAAAGGGAGTGATAAGCATCGGGTTGGCGCCTTAATATAGCTCCCAAGTTTCTTTCTATCGTGCACAGGAAGCGCTTATGATCGATCCTCTACGCTGAGGTCCACTGTAAAGTTTTGTTGCATCTTTTGAAGCCAATCGCAATTCTGACAACGATGTGCATTAGCTGTATCCTATAATTTCTTGACGATTGTGGATTTGTCGTCGTCTCGCTTCCGTGCATGACTAGGGAAGACTTGGTAAATTTCCTAAAGTACCCCACTCTTTCTCAACCTTTTCTTCTTGAGCAAATACCAATTTTGGTCTCGCGAGTATTAACAAAATGATAATTTTGATCCATATATTTAATTTTTAACAATTTTCATTTACGACTATTATTTTAGTATCAATTTTCATCCACGATTATAGTTTTAGTGTCAAAATTATCACATCGATCACTCATCCGTTTAAGATATGCCGAAATGTGAAATTATTAAAGGTATTTTTGTCATTTTCAAATTAAGATCTCAATTTGAACATGAATATAGGGATTTAAGCTCTAAGATCGATTCTAATTCATAGTTCTCTTCCTCAAATTAAGGTAGGATGAAGATGAGAACCGCAAATTGAGATTGATCTTAGGGCTTAAATCTCATTATTAATGCTCAAATTGAGATCTTAAGTTGAAAAGGACGAAAAAATACCCTTAAAATTTTTAGATTTCAGCATGTCTTAAACGAATGAGTGACCGACGTAATGAATTTTGGCACTAAAATAATAGTCGTGGATGAAAATTGATACTAAAACAATAGTCGTGGATGAAAATTGGTAGGAATTAAATATGTGGATCAAAACTGTCATTTTACTAATACTCGTGGGACCAAAATTGGTATTTGCTCTTTTCTTCTTTTACATAACTTGTTTTCCTTTTCCATTTTCCACCGGGCTGTGGCTCCTAGCCTGAATATAATGTACATTATTAATATATTAAAAATACATTATTTTTATACTAAATGTATATTAACTATAAAATATAATGTACACAATAATGATTGCCTGTTCTACAAGGTGGGTGGTTGATACATAGAAGTATAATTACTTAATTAATAAATCATGCCGGATTTTGAGTTATATAAATTGTGCAATAATGCAGGGCCTCAAATTTTAGAGGGCTCACAATGAGCCCAATCTAACATTGAGGGCAAATTGTGTTGTGCATCTGTGTGCACCATGCATGGTGCACACGGTTGCAAAAACAACGTCGTTTTGACTAAAAACGCGCGTCTCATTTAAAAAAAAAAATAGTTTCATTCCCGACAACAGCATTATGTTGTGCATAATTTGAATTATATATCCAGAATCAATGAATTAAAAATCCAGAATGTATGAACTAAAAATCCATAATGAATGAATTAAATATCCATAATGAATGAATTAAATATCCATAATGAATGAACTAAATATCCAGCATGAATGGAAAAAAAAAATCAGTTTCGATTTCCGTCTAAATATCCAGAATCAATGAACTAAAAATCCAGAATCAATGAACTAAAAATTCATAATCAATGAACTAAAAATCCAGAATCAATGAACTAAAAAACCAGAATCAATGAACAACATAATGCTTTTGAAGGGAAGCGAAACTGTTTTTTTTTTTTTAAGTATGATGGGTGT